ACATCACAACGATCGACCCTACCCCAGTGGCTGTCCGATCCGGCTCGTGGCAGCCATGTCGTCAACCAGTCCACGAAAGTCAATTGATAGCTTGGCGTCTGGGGTCTCGTCGCCTTCAATCCCTTATTCAACAAGTCAGTTGGAATCTCCACGTGTTGCCCCTCAGCGGTTCCCCCTGAGGAGGGGGTCAACCGCGAGCTCGATCGTGAGCATCGGAGGTGTCCTAGAGTCTTCTCACTACCATGGCTCAATCTCAGAGTCTGTCGCGGAGTCTGGGCAGAATGGTTTGTGATCTTGGAATTCTCAATTGCTCGACGATTGACCTGTTAACGCCCATATAGCTATTTCGACCCTCCTCCAGCCCCCAATCATCCGCACCGGTATGACGACCGGTAGTGCCACATCGTCCGCCGGCTTCAAGCCCCCGTCCTCCCGCGATATCCCGCCAGTGACTCTGACAAACATCAAGCACGTGGATGCAAAGGTCTTTCAGCCATATCTATCGCAAGTGGGCGGTTTGTACGATGTGTTTCAGCAATCGAAAGAAGGCGCTGCGGAGGAAGCCCTACCGGCGCAAGCTCCCAAGTCTCCCAAGCCAGATTCCGATCGAGATTCGTTAATGCCGTGGTCCCCCGAGCGGAGGTCTTCTGTCATGTCAACAGGTTCAAGATCATCTTCACCATATGATACTCGCGGCCGACGCCCCTCCAGTGCCCGTGGTCGTGCCCCAGCTGTTACTCCTCTCTCCACCATCCCTCCGGTCTATTTCGAAGAGGGATTCCATCTAGAGAATCCTCGAACGTTCGACGTGATATCCGAAAAATCAGATGTGGTTCGGCCGCCTCGCCCTCCATCCAAAGACGACAAACACGCCAATGGATTGGTTCCCGAGCCAGTACAAACTGGAAGAAAAGCACTAGCAACAAATGCCATTCTGCAAGAAAAGCTTTCATGGTACATGGATACTGTGGAGATCCACCTTATTTCGTCCATCTCAACGGCCTCGAAATCATTCTTCACCGCTCTAGGATCTCTCCGAGAGTTGCACGCGGAAGCCGCAGACTCAGTCAACCGCATACAAGTACTGAGAAAAGACCTGCAGAAAATCGACAAAGAAATGGCTCTAGGTGGTCTGAAAATTGTCAATTTAAGACGGCGAAGAGAAAATGTACGAATGTTGGGAGCTGCCGTAGCCCAGCTTCGCGATGTGGTCGAATCTGTGTCTCGGTGCGAAGGATTGGTAGAGCAGGGCGAGATTGAGGAAGCTGCCGATGGGCTCGAGGAAGTCGAAAAACTGATGGCCGGTGAAAAGCTCCCCGAGCGTGCCGCTTCGGAGGACGAGGAGGGTGCACCCAGACGCATTATCGACCTACGAGGCATAAAAGCCCTTGAGGGATCATCCGACGACCTTGCACAGCTCCGCCAACGCATTGGCATGGGCTATGAAACCCGGTTCTTGAATGACCTTTTGGGCGATTTACGAGAGCATGTCCAAACTGTGCCATCGAATGTGACCCTGCAGCGCTGGGGAAACTCATTCCAACGGCAGCGAGGTGGTCAACGGTCTGGAGTATTGGTATCGCCTGCCTATATGAATTTCAGTAATGATTTGCGATCCAAATTGAATAACCAGCTCAATGGACTCGCGCGTGCTCACTATACGATGTCTGCTGCAACCTCTTTCAAAACCGCTGTGTTACGAGAAATGAAGGGCCTTATTCGCAAACACCTCCCCAGTTCTAGTGATGATGATAACGAGTCTATGGTATCACTATCAACACATGGCGGTCATCAGCTAAGCCAACAAGAGAAGTCATCAATCCTTGCTCGCAATCTTCGCGCTCTCGACTCAGATGATGCTTACACGATGTTAATGAATGTCTACACCGGGATTAGCGAATCGCTCAGGCGACTCAGCGTGCAGGTCAAAGTTCTTCTAGATATTGCTAGCGGCTTGGGGAATTCCCCCACTTCTGGTGTCAGGTCACCACCACGAAGCCCCAACCCGCAGAGTATGGATCAAGCTATAAACTCTTCACAGATCGGGCCAACAGCCTCTGACATGGCCCAGGATGAGATTCTGCAGGTTTTGGATATGTCAAGTCTGCTTGGTCAGGCAGTTGACATCGCCCAATCCCAGATAACAAAGGTATTAAAAGTACGATCCGAGCAGACCGCTCAGGTTTCCAAGGAGGAATTCCTCAGGTACTTCATTCTCAATCGCCTGTTCGCCGATGAATGCGAGGCGATCTCGGGACGCAGTGGCACTGCTCTGAAGACAATAGTCGGAAATCAAATCCGCGATTTCATTACCCGTTTCGGTGATGGTCAACGGCATCAAATTGTCAATGTCATGGACGCCGATCGATGGGATGCACGCGATTTCGGAGATGCCGAGAACACGATTCTTACTAGGATTCTCGATGCAAGCACCAAAGACATCGACGCCTGGATCGAAGTTTCCAAGATCTGGATTCCACGTGCCGAGAATGAGCAAGGCAAACCTGCTGATACTACCGCTGAAAATGGGACTGACAAGTCCAAGGTTCGCAGTGCCGTTATCGACGAGCAAAAATACATTCTGCCTGACTCTGCTGTTGCCATGATGCGCAGTATTGAGGAATTCGATTTCCTCATGTCGAATATCCCCAGCATGATCCAGGATATTGCGCCGCACCTACTAGATATCCTGAAACTGTTCAACTCGCGGTCATCGCAGTTGATTCTTGGGGCAGGCGCTACACGTAGTGCAGGCCTGAAGAACATCACAACTAAGCATCTCGCGCTGTCATCACAGGCATTGAGCTTTGTTATTGCTCTAGTCCCGTATGTGCGGGAATTTGTCCGTCGCCACGGACAGGCAAACCCCTTGATGGCCGAGTTCGACAAAGTGAAGCGACTCTGCCAGGAGCATCAGAGCGGTATCCACGAGAAACTGGTTGACATCATGAGCTCGCGCTCTTCGGTCCACGTGAACTCGATGAAGAAGATCGACTGGGATTCCAAGGGAGCGACTCCTGCCGCCAATCCCTACATGGAAACCTTGGCCAAGGAGACAGGCACTCTCCACCGCGTCTTGAGCAAGCATCTTCCCGACATGACAGTTAGCATGATCATGGTACCAGTATTCAACAGCTATCGTGATCAATGGACGAAGGCCTTCCAGGAGGCCGACGTGCAGACGGAGACTGGGAAGAAGAGGTTAGTTCGGACTACTTGAACCCCGCTCATCCGTAATACTAACCGTGCCCACAGAATGCAAACCGATGTCGAGCATTTCCGAACCAAACTGAGCAAAATCGAAGGCGCCAGCGAGGTTGGCGACAAGCTCCTTGAAGTTGTGCGAGCGAAGCCCATTACCATTACCAACGAACCCGAGAATTCCAAGCCAGCGAGCGACAAGCAATCAGACCAGGATGATGGCTCTGATTCCACTAAGTCCTGATCTGCATTATCATGCCCGGTTTACCTTTATACATATAATTTTGTTTCTGCATGTTCCTTTCTTGCCTGCGCGCTCATTCCCGAGCTGTACACTTCCTGTTAATTTGCCGCTACCACATATCTGTCTACCAGTTGCATTTATAGAGCTAGCCCGGCGTTTGTGGATATGAATAAGAGCAGATATGATTTCCCTTTTAATGTATCTCTAGCATTACGTATTAGACAGTCACTGAACCTGAAATTGGCCCTCATTTACTCTTCCTAATAACCCCAAGAACCAAGCTTCCAAGCTTCCAAGCTTCTTTTTTTTTTTAAGTTTCATGACTTGAGAATATCGTGTATTATTCATAATATATACAAATCATCAGAAACACCAAAGACCATATCATACAGGATCATCGCCATCCACACATATCCTTATTTACCAGCAGTGTTCTTCTCATCAAGAGAAATAGGCTTCGCAGCACCACCACTAGGATGCTCCGATCCAGCGGTAGGCAAACCAGGGTGAACGTCACGGCCGGAGCCAGTCTGCTCTGGTAGGGGTGCAGCCTTGTGTGAGCGGCTCAGGTCTGCGGGCTGTAGAATGTATTAGCAACTACTCAGAGAGAAAAGGGTTCCATTAGATTTAGATTAGAATTGTAGAACATACCTCATTGCCGATTCCGTGTGCCTTGTTAGGACCGTTCTCGATGGGGTTGTCGCTCTGGGGGACACCGTTGTCGTATTCTGCGCCGCGGACCATTTTGATTGTTTTTGGAGGGTAGAAAAGATGGAATGTTTAGTTTTGTGGAAAATGTAATTTTTAGTTGAATGTCGCAATAGAAAAAAGAAGAGTGTTTGGCGCTGCTATTTATACTTAGTTTTCGTTGATGTGAGTTGTGACAACATCCTGAAATCATAGTGGGGAATATGACTTCATGCGTGTTGGAGTATCAAGGTCTTGACTCGATACCTTGGAAATGGATCTAGAAAATTCATGGAATGGCAGAGATCGTGATATCAATTAGTAAATGATTTTATTACACAATTCCAAGATTATGGGAGAATATTAATATTTCATGATGCATGTTCATGTGGAATATATGGCAGAACGGAGCCGACTTTTGGCAAGTTGGGTTCTATACTTCCCCATTTCCTACCGTCCACGCTGTATGAACTTCTGTTTTACCTAGTGAAACCTATCAGTATTCATGACATTCCTCTCATGTACCGGGCTATCATGCTATTATGGTACTAAAATAACCCGAAAAATGGGGATTTAGCATGTCCTGGTAATGGCGGAAAGAGGTGAATCCATCATGCTGGGGTGATGCGCTCCTTCACCATTGGCTGGTAGCGGCATACAATAAATGAGTGCACTTGATATTAGAAGGTCAATTCTTTTTGATTAAAGATACTTATTCAGCCCGGAAATTTCAACTCTAACTCCAAGATGAGTCCGACAAAAGATTGACACATACCCGTAGGAAATAAAGAAACAAATGAAGACCAACATAGGAAGACATGACCAAAGATGTCAGATGGTTCTGGTCGACTCTGACTGAATGTCAGCACTAATTTGCTCCTCGACGGTATCTTCGGCTTTGAGCCCTCGATCCTGCAATTAGACACATTTCCAAACCAGATGAATCAATAGTCTCATCAAAGCGATGAGATTCGTTAGACAAGGGCAACTCATCTTCAGATGCAGCATAAAATCCCATGGGGCTTACAGGACCAGCCCAAGGTGAGTCAGGTGCAGAGTCCAAGAAAGAGGCAGAAACACGATCCAACACCTGAACACGAGGCCGAGGACCAACCAAAACCGGTGGAGAGACAATCCCAGATCGACGAGTGGGACAGTGCCGGCACTGCCAGCCGGCTCTGAGCAAAGCTGGTAAGCCGTCAACGCGAGGTGGGAGGCGGGTTGATTCTTGGGGGCTGAGTGGGTATGGGAGTGGAGAATTTCCAAATTGCGGGCTGTTGTCACCACGGCGATGGTATGGATGACTATGGAGGGAACGGTGACGCCTTGCTAGGCAGCTACCGCACATTGAAGTTGGTCGGTTAGGGTACTGTGGGATATCGATAGGTGATGCTAACGCAGAGGCAGAAGGAGTGGTGGATGAAATGTCTGGTGCCTGAGAGCTGGGTCCTGCTGGCCCGAATGAAGAAAAGTGAGTGGACGAGGTGCTGGATGTCGCAGGAGGTGGAGGTGGGGGAGGTAATGGGCCGTGTTGGATCTTACAGCAGAGACTGGATGATGGGTTTTGTACTGGTGGTGTCGCATCGTGGGATGTTTCTGCAGGAATAGGAGACTGAGCATAATTCTGTGTGTTGGTGGAGGTGGCATTAGACGCTTTTCGAATTTGGAGTGGTCGCAACTGTAATGGAACATATGGGGAGATGTACGCATTGTTCAAGATGGTACTTCGCCTTCTCTGTGTTTGGCGGATGAGGAATTCCATGGTGTTCATCGGGGGTTTGTCCCTCCTGGCTGATGATCGTGATATAGGTTGAGTACCGTGCGAGGAGTGTTCACAGAAACAAATACCATTCTCAAAAAGAACCGAAGAGTTAGAGTCCCGCAGAGCTGAGGTGATGAGACAGCATAATGGTGGGTCAGGTTGATGGATGAAATACAAATCTGGAAGTTGAGGAGCCATCTCTTCAATCACCAGGGGACTGGCCATCTGAACACCAGACTCGACTACCAGGGCAGGTGACTTCCCAGATTGGTTTTCTTCACTTAACTCAACAGCTAAGTCTGGGCTCTTTCCTCCAACTGCGGAAAGCTCGTACACATTCCTATCAACCTCAATTACAGACATGGGGCCTGACTCTTCAGACTTCTCATCCTCACTATCCAACCAAGATATATCTGGATTCATGATTCTCAACACTGAATGTTCATCCCCTCCCCAGCTCCCACCGGCGTCATGAGGAGATTTCGGCAAGGTAGTAGCCACAGCAGGTTCTCCTCCGTCAACCACAGAGCCGTTGGCCACACACAAATCAAGTCTAGAAGACTGTTGTCGCGCGCTCTCCGACCGAGCAGACATAGGAACAACCAGATCTACCAAAGATTCAAACTCATTTTCGAGTAGGGACCTCCTGACTGGGGTCGATCCCCGATCATTGCAATCCCCAAAGAAGCGACACGGATATCGATCGGTGAGGGCCCCAGAAACGATCTGATTGAGCTCACCCGAGATACGTCGACGCTTCCTGTCGACCTTGTCGATCAACCCGATCCTCACGTTGCCCAATGGAGTGAAAACCCAACTTCTCAACCACCGCTTGATCTTGGACCGCCTGCGCGCCTTCTTTTCAGACATGCTTAACGCGATGGGCGATCGAAGCTCAGAGCTCGGATTGATTAGAAGAGAGATATGCTGGAGGACGGGGGAGTGCAGAGGAGGATCCCTTTCTTCAGCTTTCATTCTTGCTCGGGATTTTATATATTTCTGGGCTGGTACACAGATATACTAGTACCTCCGAGATCGACATTAATGAGTCTTTCATTTGACGCATTTCAGATAAGTGACACAACATTGTCTAAAGGTATTTGGGCTGGACTCCATCTCAGTTACAATGAAGACGGGAACAAACACGGATTTGAGACTTTTGACGTTCTTTGTTGGGGATGTCAACAACGATGGCTCTTTGTTCCCCAACTACCCCGGTGTGTCTCTAGTTTTATGAGTCAGCTACGGTGGTACTATCTATCCATGTAGGTATGTAGCTAGCAACATAGGGTAAAACAGAAGAAGATTGGTTTTCACCATCCTGGAATGATTCGCAGAATTTATTCGTGGATATCTTGGAAATAGGTGTATAGTACTCTCTAGGCTGATACTAATGTCATTATGACTGGTGATGAAGCATCTATGTCACCGGACGGGTACATCACCATCACTGGCCGTATCAAGGACTTGATCATCCGGGGTGGCGAGAATATTCACACATTGGAAATCGAGAATTTCCTATTAGGACACCCCGGTGTAGCCGAGGTCTCTGTCATCGGTGTTCCAGACGACCGATATGGTGAAGTGGTTGCCACCTTCGTAGTTGCTCGAGAGCGAGTTTCCCTTACCAGGAAGAGATTCAGCAATCGGTCCGGCAGAAGCTAAGCAGTCATCTTCAAGATAACCGCATGATTCCACCGTGAAGCCCTAAGGGTCAAAGTTTGTCAAACTGTACCCAGTACAGCCTGCGTTCTAGGATATATCCCACTGCTCATCAATTCAACAAGACTTGCATTTGGAGAAAGTGCCTTGGAAAGAATATGTCTTTCTATTCTGACACGAACCCAGCGTACTAGGGCTGATCACGATCCGTCTCACATTACCCGTAATGCAACGATGGTGTGGCCAGAGTGTCATGTGCAAATACTCCGAGCTATCCGTGTTCTCGAACTGTACACTGAGATATGCCGAGCATAGGTATGGCAATGACCTGAGAAGGACGCTTCGAGGTCGACACTCGAACAATGAGTGTGGTCCGACAGATACGTGAAGTAGTGGAGCGAGAGGGTCCTCGGCTCATTGATGGCCCTCCGTCCAATGCTTGTGCCATTTATCAAGCTTACAGCGTCTCCTCTATAGTCTCAGGCCGTATATTTCATAGCAGGCCGCACGCCAATGGGTGTGTTGCCGAGCGCACCCTGCTCGATCAACCACTCATGGGTGATGGATATGCTGGGTGCTGTGTTCTCATTTTCGTCGCGAGAGTACACGGTTGATTCAGCAGCCACCTGCATACGAAGATTCACATCAATGATGCACTGAAAAAGCCCTTGATCTTCGCCATCGAAGTCTACGTCTCGGTTTGCGGTGGGCACTACCACTGTGATCCCGATATCGTCGACGTAGATATTATAATCAACACCGGTGTTATTCAGACAACCCAAGAAAACATTTGACACTTGGCTGTCTAGTTGTTCAGGACCGTAGAGTGTGACGTTGTTCACGCTCTGTGGCGATGCCATCGCTAACATGGACATGGGTGACAGCACTAGTAATATCAGAGCGCTCATAATGAAGGGCTGGGAGCAAAACATGACGACCGAAGAATCAATATGACAGAGAGAGACGATTTTTGGCTAATGAGTATCATGTTGGCCCTTCCCTCTCCCCTTTAAGTAGGCTGGAGTCTTCGGGTCGAAATTTGGAAGCCTCTGTACAATCTTATTCATCGACCGAGATGCGCCATTTCTTTTTGCAATTTGCTGGTGTTTCATTATGGGGACAGGGAAAATGCCTTGTTGCATCGATGTGGCTTCGTGGAGTTTCGTATACCAGTAGATATCACCATAGCCCACCCACACGGCCCAGATAGGGACAGGGATGACAGGGATATAAGCCTCGGTGCATCGAAATAACTTTTGTGGAGCTGTGTATACAAGTGAAGCTCGTCAAAATCCGCCCCCGGCGCCATTGGCCCCATATAAATCAAGCCTTTGGTCCGGCCCCTGCCGGCCCCAGCCGGTCCACGTAGACCTCTGCATAGCCCATAAAGCCCATCGGCCGGCTATGGGCCCATCCACCGAGCCCATAGGGTCCATTGGGGCCCATAATGGGCCCCCCATTATTAACCAAACAACACAAACATGCCAATTTATCGCAGCTGTATAATTAATACATTTTTTTCCTATTTTTTAGAGGTATTGAAATTACCACTGATTGATTTGATTTTATTTATAAGACATTAAGTAATATATACTAGGAGGCCAAAAAACAAGAATGAAAATCGATTTTTATAAAGCTTTACTTTTTTATAAGAGGTATTTATTTTTATTAGGGGTTTATATAGTAAGTAGAGGTACTATAAGTGTTACTACAATTGACCATAGAAAGTGGTATTAATCCTCCATAGATAATATATAACTATCTCTTTATACTAATACTTAGTAATTCCTTCAAGATGCGAATTTATGGTCAAATTGGATCTTTTTAGGGATATTTTGTATGAAATTTTGTATGAAATCTAGTATTATGATGCTAAAATCAGTATAAAATTCACTTAATTCCTACTTCTTACTATGATAATATAATAATACTGAAGATATAGGTTAGTTACCTGCGTAAAATACAGTCATTAATCATCTACTTTATGTATACCAAGTCTGTATTTGTGCAAAGAAATGGGCTTTTGATGGGCTTTGATGGGCCCCCATTAATGGGCTGTGGGTTGGGCCGGGGGTCTGGGCCCATTGATGGGCTATGCAGAGGTCTAATCGCAACGATAGTACACTTGATATAGTCTATTAGAAGAATTTCGGGTGGGATATACATTGATTGAGAGACCACAGAGAATGTTCTACGGTTGCCTTCTACGATGGCGTGGAGGGTATCATGCCCTGCTTAGGCTCTAAGGGCGCTAGTATCAACCTTGTAAAGTGCCGGTGTACTCTCGACGCCGCATGACCCGCTCTATCCGAAGTTACCCTGCACAGCCCTGGCGTCACAGAATGGCTCTCGGTTGCCTGGCCACGAATACCATGGCACCAAGTTGTCGTTGCCGTCCGTCTCTCTGGTTCCTTTACGCGCAGTCCATAAATATTCGAAAGAATAGCCGGTAATATGGACCAATAGCGAAAATATCGCACATCCCTCTACCCTCAGTCAGTGCTGCATCTTGCGACTGCGAAAACCATATCATAATCATGCCATCACTTGCCCAATAAAGAAACGGCTTAGAACTGGCTGATGACTAGTGTGGGCATGCATCGCTAAAGTTCATCAGCGAGCGTAGCCGGAATTCTTGCCAGTGAACTATAGCCCGTGGTTGTTGGCTGTGGAACTGGCATGGTCTCGCTTCCTTGGATGCAATGGCCCGGATTGTAGGATCTGGTCAAGATCGTCTACGCTTGGTAGAAGATGATTCCGCCACACAGGCGACCATCGTCTATAAGAGAGACTACAATTCCATCAAAATCGCAAAGCTGGAATTCTCCTCCCCTGTCCCCTGTTCTCGGTTCCCTGCTTCCTGTTCTCTGCCAGATTCCCTCTTTTATGAGTGACGATAGTCACCACATCCCGAAGTCTTTTTAGCCGTCTCTTTCATACTATATGTCGGACGTGAGTTTTCACCTGGAATCCTTTCGACCATAGAATCCTTTCCAGGACAAGCCCACCCTCTACGAGATTCTCTCGATATTTACGGCTATCCCACCTCCCTCCCATCCTATTGATCCAGTCTCAAAGGCACTCCCACAGTCTTCCGGCGCCGCCTTCCTGAATGTAGGAAGATTAAGGCTAGGGATAGCAATGGGAGCCGAGACAGCGACTACCTTGATGGAAACAGAAGGGTCAGCTGAAGAAATGGGCTGGATTACTTAGTGTAACCGATGGATCCCCGCGGATACGTTCGAAATAACGCCAAAGTGTAAGGCACCGAGCCCGCACCTTTATTATTTCGGCAGAACTCTTTGATCTGTGATCCCTCTCTTTAACAATCTCTGTACTGCCTTCAATTCCCGATGGATCTTTCTATGATTATTGTCGAATACCAAATCCGAACACATGGTAGAAACCAGGTATTATACCGGAAACATCATATGACATTGGGTACTAAGCATACTATACAAAAGTGTATATTATAGTTAGTCATCGATGTCTGTATATAAATAGCGGATTTTGTTATTTTAGTTAGAGTTGTTAGTTAGCATTAGTTATCTATACCATATACTGTTTGTATACTAGCTTTCTATCAGTTATAAGCCCGGAATCGTTCTATTAAAACCTAGCTATTATCGAAATTAAGGCTAAGGTAATACTATATTATTAGCCGCCCTCGCCAAAGCAACCCCTAAGATAACCCTTAAATTAAGAATCGGAATTCCATCTATAAAGGATAATAAATAACGAATATAATGAATATAACTAAATAGCTCTCCGCGAGTATATCCTCTCGCGTAGACCTCCGCAGAGCCCATAAAGCCCAAAGCCTAGCCCAACCCAACCCGCAAATGGGTTGGGTTGTGGGCCCGGTCCTTAGGCCTATCAATGGGCTATAGGCTTATACCTCGAGCCTACAATAGGTTAATAGGGGCCGGCCAAGATGCCAAGACACAGCGAAGGAGATCAGTCTCAGCCCCTCCAGCCCCAGGGCTGATGGGGGCCGCAGGAAACCTTTCCCCCGACTTTGAAATGTAGGATATTTCAGCATAAGAGGGTTGTCGTCTTTTTTTTGGGTAATATTTTCAGGCCTGTATTTGTACATATTTCATCATGGCTTCGTTGCGGGAGTCACAGCACTCGCTATTATCGGAAGATTCGATCGACACTGGACGCCAGCATTATTGGAATCCACTCAATGACCGCCTATCCAACCCAGGCTTTCTCTATCAATTCGCCTCGGAAAGTACCTGGTCCGAAGAAGTCCTGCGCGATGTTAATGCGGGAATCTTGACCGCATCAGGCGGTGCCGTTCCCGCAAACAAGCGCGATTCAATAGATAGCACCGCGACTACGACTCCACGCGATACCTATGAAACTCCTCAATCTCCCCAGTCTCCAAATACCCACGTGCGCTGCCCAAACCGAGCACCGGTTCTCCATAAACGGCTATCCTGTGGCCCGTTGACACTCTTGGTTCTCGCTTTCTATGCTACCGTCCTTTTTGGCATCTATCTCGGCATCGCGCTACGCAAGCCCCGATGGCATACTATCTCTAGTACTTGATCGTTGAATTCGTCTACAGCATCTTTGCTGAGCGCGTTCTTTGCGAAAACGATCGAGTTGGCCTATGTTACGATTTGCGTCGCATTCTTAGGACAGGTTCTTAGTCGGAGAGCTTTGATGAGTGGTTCAAGAGGAGTCAGCATCTCGGATATGAATATGAGGGCCTGGATTATGCAACCCAGATCTATGATTGTACACTGGGAGGTGCTACAATTTTCGGCACTCAATTTCCTCGGGTTGATAGCGTTGATTTCAACATTCGTGGCGATGCTATATACTACTGCCGCCTAAGCTTTAGGTAAATTCTCTCTCTTCTATATATGATAAGTTGAACGCTAATTTATGGCAGTTACCTCTAAACTCTCCTTTGGTCCTGTTGAGCTAAGGATACTCTAGGGCAAGGTAACCACTCGGTTTGCGAACCCGAGTTATATTGCATCAGATTGCGAGACACCTATAACTACTAGTATAGACCCTTTGTATTGTAGCACGACCTATGTGCAGATTGAACACGTCGGCTACGCATATCAGAACTACCAGCAATGGACGACCTAATAGAACCCGCTAGTGAACAGTAACAATGCAACATTCAGCCAGCTCCGAACGCGTCCAAAACCTACCTATTTTCGGAAAGTACCCTAAGCCATACAATATAATCATCAACTCAACAATAGTTTGGCCGTCAAATACTATCTATCTTCTAGGCGCAACGCCACCATCCGCAGACACTTATATACCACTGTACGTGATATACTCACTACGCGTGAAACAAACAGGCGTTTGCTCGACCAAGTACTTTGCCGATACAAGTAGTGTATTCCTTAGCACGGACTACGAGAATAACTCAAACGGCCTATAGTACGACCGACGGTAGGGGAAATTCTCCGAGGGGTAGGAGCCAAACTAGAAGTCTATTACGTCGGAATTGGCTTCTATACTAGAATTAAATGCCGGTATCTTAGACGGCTACGCCTTCAATGCCCGACTATTAATATAGATAATGCCGCGGTATAAAGAGGCCGAGGGGACTTTTATACTAGACCCGAGTCTAGTCCACAGACGGCACAGTTGCAGGGCGCTTGTGGGTGTGGGCGTTCTAGAAAACAGATGAAAGACAAGTGGTTTATTGGGATGGAGGAGGATGAGCATTATTACATTCGGAGTAAAACGGAGGAAGACCTTCCACTTCCTCTGAAGCCCATAGATTCGACGCATTTGGAGCCGATAGAGATCGATGATGGGGATGGGAAGAAGCCTAGCGCTATGGTTGATGAGTTTAACAAGTTGTCGAAGTGCAATTCGCTTTTGGCGACACTCTATTGATGTATAGATAAACCTGTAAACCAGGCAAGGGAATGGATTACCTTTATGTACAGATTGCAACGCATGTTCAATTAACATCTCTAACGGGGCGTTTCTTGTCATAAAATTTGCTAATCAACTCCTAGCTTCACATATGGAGACATACTTAGTAACAAGTGCAATCGTCGTTGTAGTTTTTACGTGCCAGGTCGATCAATGAAGAATGAGTGCATTCCAACCAGAATAACAAGGATAGAGAAGAAAGACAAAGTAGGTGGGGGATCTCTGGGGTTTAAATAGTAGAGCATCCTAGGTAACAAACATACTCTCTTTCCCGATTAGGATTAGTAACAATCTGTAGAACAAAGAAAACAAAGAAACCCTTTACTAGCTTATATGACCTTCCTCATATTCCGACAGATTCCTGAAGTAGCTAGGCCCCCTGACGTCATTTTTATAATATCCTTATGGGGAGCGGCACCAAGCGCTTACTGAAAAAAAATATATATCTAAAAAATAGAGAATAATCCATTTTTTTAATTTCTAAAATCGAAGATTTTACTTGGAGACCCCGAGTACGCAGGCGTAATACTTTTTTAATCCAATCTGTAAAACCTGCAAAAACCCAACCCTCTGTGGGTTCTCAAAACCTCAATCCGACCCATCCAATTGCGGATTGGGTCAGTTTCGGGTAGGTTTACGGTTTGAATTAACAAATTTAGAATGGATAGAGTCGAGGGGACATTGCATGGCTAGAGCCCACGGGCTCCTAAAAGACTAATGGAGTGTACCGTTATGATAGGGAAAAGAGACCTTCGATGCCGAGCTAAGGTCCAAACAAAACAATGGCTGATACAGGCCCTAGAGAAGCCTCTAGTGCGCCGCTCTACTCACTTTATCAGGGAAAGTCCTATTCAATGACACAGTGTATTCCTCTGCCACATAATGATATAATATTCCGGCTTCCAAGGTAATTGAATGGCCTGTTCACTCGTCATCAAATCCATATGCCTTCCAGTTCCGTATCACCTTGTCCCGGACATCAGCGGGGTACGATCCACGAAAAGACCCTTCTTTCCAGCACATTTCCTCGTCCACAAACTCGCAGGGGAACATGCAGCAACGGACAACTTTAAAATGGTTGGTATGCTCAGGCTCAAGTCCATATCGAACGTAGGGTATTAGAGGAATATTTCCATATTCTTCAAAGAAGAATTCATTGGTCAATGGTTGGCAGCGAGTAGATTCTGCCCAGATAACGTCACGGATGTCCGTAGGGTCAATATCATCACCTGTCAGTAATAACTTCGGGATATACCACCCAGGCTTTGAAGCAAAGACTGTATGGCCAACCGCTTTGCTAAAATCTGGGATTTTTGTGTTCAAGGCTCTCAGCTTTTGCCGGTCGACTTGGAGGACAAACCACAGGCAATGTGATTCAAAAGGACACCAGACCATCTTGATCGGTAATCCCGCGGCCTGACAGACATTCAATACCTCAGCGGCCTGCATGACACCCCACACAGTGTGGTTCTCTTCGGCAGCTCTTCCAGCCACGCACAGCGGCAAGATTGGATCATGTCTGTAGGTAATAGCATTTACCTTGAAGAGAGGCTGGTCCTTAGCTTCTCCCGGAAATACCATACCATGATACTCTGCCATTGGGCCTTCAGGGCCAGATTCGGTAACAGACACGACACCTTTAACCCAGCTTTGGCGTCAGCAAGCCCATGTAGCATAACAAATTTTCAGAGAAGACCGTACCTTCGAAAACAATTTCCGCATTTATCGGAATACAAATATCATTCGTTTCGCACTTCACCACCTCTACGGGCTTTCCAATCAAAGCACCCACAAAGCCAGCTTCATCTGTCCACTTTGGAATTGGCATGCCGCTTACCATGATTGCAGCAGGCGGGACACCGAAGCAGAGCGCCCATGGCATATCCTGCCCTTTTTCTTTCCACATTTGCCATATCGCGCCGATGTCCTGGTTCGGAATGATAGGTCCAGTAAGTGAACGCCTATCATGAACCATCCCTCGGGTGATCGACCAGTTCACCCAACGCCCGTCTGGAGTTTTCACAATATGCATGCCAAAAGTCTGTAAATACTTGCCACCATCTGCATCGTGGTGGAGGGGGACCGGCAGGGCATTTAGATCGATATCATCACCGAAAAGTTTGTACTGCTTGACTGGGGCTTGGTCGGGCAAAACTTCGATAGCGGACACCGGTGACTTCATTTTGCATTCGTTGATTCTGTTGATGATCTCCTCGCCGGTTGCAGTGGATGGTAGCCCAAGGGACTTGGCAATACGCCCAAACCTCCGGTTCACGTCGCGGCTCAATCCCACGGGTGCTCCTAGGATGCGGAAAAGACCGGTGTCTTTACGGCCTTTGATGTTTTGAAACATTGGAGCTTTTTCTTCGGTCTCGTAGACCTTGCGGGTGATCGCAGCAAGCTCCAGGTGAGGATCAACCTCTTTTGTGATGATAATAAGGTCATTTTCCTCTTCAAGCTCCTTGACAAACTGACGAAAGTCTTCTGATGCAGAGACTGCTTTGACAGGATTTGGGTTCATTGGCAAAGTTGAGTGAGAAAAAATTGTTGAAGGACGAAATCTGTCGCTCCGATAGTATGATCCCACCACGGGGGAAATATATCTGATCCCACCACCGGGGAAATATATCCAGATATATAGTCCTTTGTGTCGACGACTACCTCCCATCTCCAAATTGGACACCCGAGTTAGCCGTAGTCGGAGGCATGCTTTATTGTATTGTACCCTACAACCTTAGAACAATCGGTCATTTTCTCTAATTATATCTTTAGTCATGCTATCGGGCCGTATTGCTCTATGAGAGGTTTTCTCCAAATTAAAGCTTAAATCCATAGGGCCGTTAGCGCATATAGTGGTTACTTACCGCTAGTAACTAATTTATCAGATTACAGTGGCGTTTCATTGATATTTGCACCCCAGTACTTCCACTCTTGACCGCTGTTCTTTACCGTCTGCCTATTCTCACCGATTGCGCGTAATTCTAGAAGTTACGGATCCCTTCTCTCTACTTTTGCCTCTCCATTTAGCAGGGATTATACCACATAGTGCAGAAGAGGTTATCAAGTACAAATAGCGGCATACTGTTAGTTACCAATTTGACTAGTTATTAAGTTTTCTACCGGCAGAAGAAAAACGGGTCTTATGTCTGCTGCCTGCAGAAGAACCGGGGCAACGAAAGATGAAGAAAGCTTAACCCCGATTTCAAGGTTTCAAGAATACTAACGAATCACGACGTCGATATGAACTCCAATTTGGAGAAAATACTCACAACAGGCTCGGTCCGATCAGACTAGTGGAGAATGGCCGATGGTAAAATGCCCCTATCTGACAGTTTACGTGGGCTTCCGGGATCCGGGATTATCTCCAATTAAGACATGTCCTGCTTTTAGTTCGAGTTTAAAATGGCTGCCACCCATGCTGATTTTCCCAGTATCACCATTTCAAAATAGTCTACAGGCTATTACTGTCTGAGAAGATGTTGCTTAGTCTTGTCCATCCACTTCTATGGGGTAGCACCCTGCTCTTTACTTCTGGTGCCGCAGCTTCTCAGGCACTCTCTCGTTGCTCCACCAATGGCATCAATTTGCCTTCGACCCCTGGATTGATAGTCTCATCCACATCGATTCAGCCAGTGATCGATTATTCCATCTTGGGCCAGACAGCAAACCCAGAAGTGGAACAAAATGTAACCATCAGCTTCTGCAACATAACGATCAACTACGGTCATCAGGGATGGAAGGACGATGTGCAGGTTACCATATGGCTTCCCCTTGATAACTGGAACGAACGTTTAAGCGGCATTGGCGGTGCTGGGTTCTCTTCACTTTATACCTTTAACCGCTTCGCCCCGGCCATCTCGCGCGGTTATGCTGCAGTCGGGACAGACGCAGGCCATGATCACAATCCCCTGAATACTTCCACTTGGGCCCTCGATGCTCAGGGAAATGTCAATTTTTACCTCCTCCAGAACTTCTTCGCTATTTCTCAAGCCGAAGCCGCAATTATGGCAAAGCAAGTCATCAGTGCCTTTTATGGCCGCGAACCCAAGTTTTCTTACTGGGACGGTTGCTCGACAGGTGGCCGTCAGGGGTTTATGTTAGCTCAACGGTATCCAGACCTGTATGATGGCATTCTTGCTGGAGCACCAGCCTTCAACTGGGCAAATTTCGTACCCGGAACCTACTACCCCCAGTTTGTCATGAACCAGCTGAAGCACTATCCGGCGCCTTGCGTGCTTGAATACATCAACACCCAGGCAAAGAAAGCCTGTGACTCGTTGGATGGTGTCACGGATGGCATTGTATCTTCACCTGATTCGTGCACATTTGATCCATACTCAGTTGTCGGTCACACTGGTACCTGCAACGGCCAGCATTTCAGCATTACCACCCAAGACGCTGAGATTGTTCAAAAGGTCTGGCATGGTACCACAGGTACCAATGGGACTTTCCTTTGGTACGGTATGAATAAGGGCACCACTTTCTCTAATGTGGGCAACACAACATGCACTGCAACAGAGTGCCAGGGTGTCCCATTCGGAGTCGCTTCGGAATGGCTCGGACGTTTTGTTTTGCAAGACCCCGAATTCGACCTTACCAGTCTGTCGGAATCAGGATTTGAGGGTGTCTTCAAACAATCTGTTGCTGCATACAAGTCTGTTGCCAGCACCGACGATCCAAACTTGAGTGGCTTCCGTGAGGCGGGTGGTAAATTGATTCATTGGCACGGATTGGCAGATCAACAAATCTATCCCAAAGGATCTGAAGACTATTACAAACGTGCCGAAGCACTGGATCATGATCTACGGCACTTTTATCGCTTTTTTGAGGCCCCTGGAGTTGGTCATTGCGGTCATGGATATGACAGTCATGCATATGGACTGCAACCGGCAGATCCCTTCTCCGTCCTGGTCAACTGGGTTGAAAAAGGCATTGCCCCTGATGTGCTGCCAGCATCCACTCCAGATGCCATTTACAGTCGAAACCTTTGTCCATACCCCCAGGTCCCTGTCTATCACGGCGGAGATCCTAAAAAGGCAGAGTCTTTCAACTGCAAGTGATTTTCCGGACGTTGGGCCAATGTGCGTCAATATATCAAAACTTCTCGGCTTCCATGTGTTTAGGCATACTCACGAGAGAAAGATAGTCAAGGATTGATTACATGTTGTATATTAAAGAGTTGGGTGGGGCGAAGAAAGAGTTGGGTGGAGTGAAGAAAGATTTAGGTGAATGATATATTGATTATATTTCCTGTAAACATTTCCTCTTAGGAATCTAATGGTTTTCCATTCGATCGGGTTGATGGGCCATTGCCTTTAAAGGTCTGTGAATCTAATCTTCAGGTTGTAGGATATCATTGAGGGAACAACTCATAGTTTCAAGGGGGAACTAGTATTGGTATTTGTTGAGATCTCCCATAGTCACCTGGCCTTTCCTATATTAGAAGGCTCTTGCAGCCGTACTTCCTTTCTATAACATACAACACACATGGCTTAACAAGCTGCACAATTTAATGCATTGTGCGGTATATCAGGACATGGATGATGCGAATTATCCTAGTTTACCATATAGAGCATTGGGGAGATTGGTAGGCCAATGAATCAGCCTCCTGCTCTTAACAGTAAAGTACCGCCTCTCCGATCGCCACTAATAATCAATTGCGTTCATAAATCTGGACGACTATCTTCCATCTTGCAAGCCTGAGCTCTTATCAAAAGTAAATTCCAGGTTCCACCTGTCTTGGGTGTGTATTGCGACAGGCTCTTCACCCATCATTGTGATTGACACTTTTATCCTCAGTAGATATATTACTAAGTACATAAATTCAAAGATAATTCAATCAATTAACACACCGAAAATAAATAAACAAAGGAGAACAGAGAGCAGTGCTGTTATAAATACAATATCCCCCCTCCCCCCCCCCAAAGCACCTAATGCGTCTGTATATGGCTTATAGCAGGCCCTAGGCCCAGTCACTTTTAAGATCCAAGCCTGAAGCCCCACTCTGTATACATACACTTAATATTTTTTCCATCCTTCCCATCTTTCGAACTCAGCTGTGTCCAAATCGAAAAGGTCCAGCATCCGGCCCACACTGTGATCCACCAAATCATCTATCGACGAAGGTTTAATGTAGAATGCAGGCACTGGTGGACAGATAATAGCACCAGCCTGCGTAACGGAAACCATATTGTGCAAATGTATTGTGCTGAGCGGGGTTTCCCTGAGAACGAGGACCAGCCTACGACGCTCTTTGAGCATCACATCTGCAGCCCGGGAGATTAGATCGTTGCAAATCCCAGAGTTGATCGCAGCAAGTGTCTTTACACTGCATGGTACAATGACCATTCCATCAACACGGAAAGAGCCGCTGGATATCGGCGCCGCCATATCGTGGACACTGTAGACATAGTCTGCCAAGGCACGAACATTTGCGATAGTATAGTCGGTTTCATATTTGATTGTTGCTTCAGCCCATTTACTGATGACGAGGTGGGTCTCCACATTCAGTCGACGAAGGGTAATGAGTGTTTTGATCCCTAGAATAGACCCCGTTGCTCCTGTGAGGGCAACGACCATTCTCCGCCGGCGGGAAGACTTGGGTTGGTCTTCTCCTGAAGATGAAGACAGATTGCTTGAACTGGGTTCCAGGAGTTCCATTGTAGTAAAGAAGGGAATATTAAGATATTATGGTGAAGAACGAATCGATAGAAAAGCAATAGCAATAGATGATTGCTGAACTCCAGATACGAAGCACCATCGATCCTACAAGTAGTAGGACAAGTCTCGATTTGGAGAAACATGCCAGCTCTACTTCGGCTCGATCGGTATCAGTACGTAGTGGTTCGTTAAAAGTTGGGGTTAAACTTTTCTTTTTTCGTTGCTATCGTATTAGGGATAGGGTCGGGGATACAAACGGCAAAATAACGGTTTGAGTCACAGTTTGATATACAGTGACGGTCCATAAGTTTTCATCACGCCTATTCCGTGTGTGCCTTAGTTCCGCTAATCAAAGATCTATATTTATGAGCGGTACGATTCTCTAGGAAGGCAGTATCCAAGGGGTGCTATATGGATTAAAGCTCCAATTTGGAGAATTTGGAGAAACCCTGAGCAATCCATGGATGGCTCGGCCCGATCGGATGACTAAAGATCCGGGTTCCACCTGGGCAGCTCAGGGATACTCAAAAGTTCCGCTTATATAACCAGCTAATTTCGAGTAACTAACTATTCTTCCAGTCTAGGAACCTGAGGGATAGTTACTCGAAACCACTTGATTAGATAACCACTGTAACAATAACGTATTTTATATGCGAGCCGCCTACCTTAAAACACCGTAGTAGATGCGATAAATTACAACTTGATATCTCAACAGTAACGTACTTCACCGCCCGAGAACACATAGTAGAAGTGATAGATTATAGCATGATATTTCAACAACCAGCGCTTTCATTTCATTTTCTTAACTCACCGATAGCAATTGATAAGCACTTCTAGTATCATATATCAATTTGAGATAATTTGAGAACATGCATTGTTATAGTATCGAAAAATATATGAGATATATATTCCTTGTCTCTAGTTTATAATTTCCCCTGAACTCTAACAAGTGGCTAGATATCATATAAAAAGCATTAGGCTATAAGGAAAATCTTATATAAACACCCGTTGTTAAAATATCATATTATAATTTATCGCTTTTACTATACTGAGCATGCCCAAGTGGTACGTCACTGAGCACTCACTCGTGGACTGAGCACGGGAGTAGTCACCGACACGTGACCGAACCAGAGCATGCTCATTGAGTCTGAGCCGTGCTGACATCTACTCACCCTCTCATAAAGCGGCGGCAGCCCAGATAGGAAAGGCCCCACCTGGCAGACATTATGCTGTTTATATAGTTGCATATACCAGGCACAGAGTACACAAAGGACCATGTATAGTCTGAAAGATAGTCAAATTCAATAAAATATCTTCCGAAATATATGCAATATGCTTTTTTCTCAACAGTCTCGGGTGGAATTTCCCTTGCAGAGACTTTTTAGTCTAAGCGCACAGGGAAAAAAGCCTTGGAGGGTCACACCCGTCGACTAGATCGACCAGTCCGGAGAAAAACTCTTGACCGGAGGGAGGAAACGGGAATTGCTCTTCTTTTCTCATGGAATTATCTCTTTGACGTCAACTCCATCTCCAATCTGATCCACATCACCCCCACCAACTTCTCCAGTCACCCCAGAAGCTCAAGTCGCGAGGTCCACTTCTCCCCCGCACAGACCGGACAGCTCTTCCAAGGTCGTTGCGCATCCCCCCCCCCCCCCCCCCCCCTCTCCTCGCGTTTCATTTCTCTTTTGCTTTCTTACGAAATACATACATTTGAGAATCATGGAGGACAACGGCGAACCCATCAAGCGTGATGTGCGCAACCACATGCTTTTCGAGGTGGCAACTGAAGTGGCCAACCGAGTAGGCGGCATCTACTCGGTCCTCAAGTCCAAAGCTCCGGTGACCACCGCTGAATATGGTGAGCGGTACACTCTGATCGGCCCACTCAACAGGGCTTCAGCTGCGGTGGAGGTTGAGGAGCTATCCCCGTCTAACCCGGCCATGCGGGAGACGATCCAGTCTATGAAGGAGCGCGGAATTGACATTGTCTACGGTCGCTGGCTTATTGAGGGGGCCCCTCGGGTTCTGCTGATTGACACTGGAACTGGCTATCGGTGGTTGGATGAGTGGAAGGGCGATCTTTGGACTACTTCGGCCATCCCCTCCCCCGCTGGTGATAATGAGACCAATGAGGCCATCGTTTTTGGATACTTGGTTGCTTGGTTCTTGGGAGAGGTACGTTCCAACAATTGTTCTCTAAGTTGGAAATGGCAGAGGATCACGACTGACCATATTGCTGCTCTAGTACATTGCCCACGACCGTCGCCGGGCGGTCATCGCCCATTTCCATGAATGGTTGGCTGGTGTCGCTCTGCCACTGACCAAGAAGCGGCACATGGACCTCACAACTGTCTTCACCACCCACGCGACATTGCTGGGTCGTTACCTCTGTGCTGGATCGGTTGACTTCTATAATAACCTTCAGTACTTTGATGTGGATGCCGAGGCCGGGAAGCGAGGAATCTACCACCGCTACTGTATTGAGCGAGCTGCTACTCATGCCTGTGATGTCTTTACCACTGTATCGCACATCACTGCATTTGAGAGCGAGCACCTGCTGAAGCGGAAACCAGATGGCGTGCTTCCTAATGGTCTGAATGTCAAGAAGTTCTCTGCCATGCACGAGTTCCAGAACTTGCACTCCCAGGCCAAAGAGAAGATCAACGATTTCGTTCGTGGCCATTTCTACGGCCACAATGACTTTGATCTGGATAATACTCTATATCTCTTCACCTCGGGTCGTTACGAATACCGCAACAAGGGTGTCGATATGTTCATTGAGGGGCTGGCTCGCCTGAATCATCGATTGAAAGCCGCTGGGTCGACCATGACCGTGGTCGCTTTTATTATTATGCCAGCACAAACCTCTTCGTTGACAGTGGAATCGCTCAAGGGACAGGCCGTCGTCAAGTCTCTGCGCGATACCATCGAGAACATCGAGAAAGGGATCGGTAAGCGCATGTATGAGCGCTGCCTTTCATGGAAGGAAGGCGACAACATGCCCGACGAGAAGGATCTCATCACCAGTCAAGATCGCGTGATGCTCCGCCGTCGCTTGTTCGGCATGAAGCGTCACGGTCTCCCCCCAATTGTCACCCACAACATGCACAATGACCACGAGGACCCCATCCTGAACCAGTTGCGTCGGGTCCAGCTTTTCAATCACTCCTCCGACCGAGTCAAGGTTGTCTTCCATCCTGAATTCCTCAACTCTGCCAACCCTGTATTGCCGCTTGACTACGATGACTTCGTTCGCGGAACCCATCTGGGTGTCTTCCCCTCCTACTACGAGCCGTGGGGATATACGCCGGCCGAGTGTACAGTTATGGGCGTACCTAGCATCACCACGAACCTGTCTGGGTTCGGTTGTTATATGGAGGAATTGATTGAAAACTCCTCCGATTATGGAATTTACATCGTGGACCGTCGTGCCAAGGGCGTTGACGATTCGGTCAACCAACTGACCGAGTTTATGTTCAATTTCACGGAGAAGAGTCGTCGCCAGCGCATTAACCAGCGTAACCGTACGGAGCGTCTGAGCGATCTACTCGACTGGAAAAGAATGGGCTTGGAATATGTCAAGGCTCGCCAGCTGGCATTGAGAAGAGGTATGTTATAATCCTATTGTATTTTCTAGGTGATTACGATCTAATTATTTTATACAGCTTACCCGTCCTCCTTCGAGGGCCAAGAGGATTACTTTGATATCATTGGAGGAACAGAACAGAAGCTCTCCCGCCCGCTTTCCGTTCCTGGATCCCCTCGGGATCGCTCCGGAATGATGACCCCAGGTGACTTTGCCTCTTTGCAGGAAGGCCACGAGGGATTGAGTACCGAGGATTATATTGCCTGGAAATTGCCGTGAGTTCCATTTTATCATTTACTAGTATTTGTCACTAATACAGTCAACAGTGAAGAGGAAGAGCCCGAAGAGCACTTCCCGCTCACACTGCGAACCCGCAAGATGACTGAACGTGCTGCATCCCCACTGGACAACATATCGATCAATGGCCGAGACGAGCCCGAAACAGAAGCCGGGAAAGAATAACCGAGGGTATTGAGGGTAGTTATTGGACCCTTGTTTTAGTCATTTTCACCATTGGCCTCCCAGTTGGAGTGGGCACTTCCACCATTGACGTCATGTGTACTTGTTTAATCATTTCTTTTCTATGATCTTCTTATGATCTTCTTCCCGAGCAATGCATTTGGAGCCCATGTTTGTTTCTTTTAATTAAACGAAATCGAAATTCATATGTTTGCAAGGATATTCAGTGTAATGTCAATGTTGTAACTCTGCGCGGAGGGATGAGCTCCGGCAATATCCACTTGAACACCCAGGTAACACCGGAGCTGCATCGGAGCTTTTAGGATATAGAGTTACGAACTTGAGCGATCATAGCCGATTATTCTCGCCCCGGTGAGCATTTAGCGAACTATGATTCATCGTACGTTGTACTTCTGTGTGTGCTACTTGGCTATTTCTACCCCTCCTACCCCTACCCCTCCATCTTCCTCTTCCCACCATCACTCTTACTATCCAACCTTGGAACTTCCGACTCACTTCTACCATCGGTACGACTCTCCAATGGAGCCGCGCACGTCCAGGGCCCCGCGGGGTTGCAGGACAAAGTCCTCGCTACGATGAAGAGATGGATCAAGGTATTTGTTCGTATAACAGTCGTTGCCACCGCATGACAGGTGTTCGGTTCAGTCAGTTGATTGGGGAGAACTATAACCCTATACAGATCTCCGAGCATATCGTCTGGAGTCTGTATGGTTTCTTCTCATATCAACTGATTAACCGTTCTGAGATTATACTGTCAAAACTTGATCTAGACAATACTAGCGAAAGGACATGCGTGACTTTTGATTGTTCCCCTGTTTTGTGTTTTGTGTCTAGCTCTGCTCATGCTGTACTATGCTGTTGACTGTTCAATTGAATACATAGATTGAATGGAACACAGCATGGACGGAGTAGAGATGGATCCTTTCTCTCTTGGCATGCTGACCCAATTGAAGTATTCAAATAGCTTGATCGTTCTGCCATCATGTCTACCGACAAGATTACTTTTTTGACCAACTGGTATGCTGATATTGTCCCAGAACCTGAGCTTTTGAGCCCTCTTGTGCTCGATGCTCCATCTTGGTAGTCAGACTTGGCTAAGTTATTTCTTTCAAGGCACGCCACCCCGTACCACGCCCCCCTCTACCTCGCTCAGGCCAGAGGCTACTTCAAGGATGAAGGTCTCAAGGTCGCTCTCCTCGAGCCCAATGACCCCTCAGACGTCACCGAGATCGTCGGAAGCGGCAAGGTCGACATGGGCTTCAAGGCCATGATCCACACCCTGGCGGTTCGTGTTCCTTACCGAGAAACAACAAACACATACTAATACTATATCCAGGCCAAGGCCCGCGACTTCCCCGTGACCTCCATTGGCTCCCTCCTCGACGAGCCCTTCACCGGAGTCGTGTACCTTAAGTCCAGCGGAATCACCGAGGACTTCCGCTCGCTGAAAGGCAAGCGCATCGGCTACGTCGGCGAGTTCGGCAAGGTATGATTTCCCCCGTCACCCTTCAAGTCACCCTTCAACACAATCCGCCAAACAGACCCTAACAACCCCCAGATTCAAATCGACGAACTCACCAAGTACTACGGCATGACCGCAGACGATTACACCGCCGTCCGCTGCGGAATGAACATAACCAAAGCAATCATCAACGGCACCATCGACGCGGGCATCGGTCTGGAGAACGTTCAAATGGTCGAGCTCGAAGAATGGCTAGCGGGCCAAAACCGACCTCGCACCGACGTCCAAATGCTCCGCATCGACCAGCTCGCCGAACTAGGCTGCTGCTGCTTCTGCTCGATCCTATACATCGCGAACGATGCCTTCATCGCCGCGAACCCGGAGAAGGTTGCCGCCTTCATGCGCGCCGTGAAGCGCGCCACCGACGATGTCCTTGCTGACCCTGCGGCCGCGTATGCGGAGTACATTGACGTCAAGCCGATCATGGGCACTGATGTTAACCGTAAGATCTTTGAGCGGTCGTTTGCTTACTTCTCGCGGGATTTGAAGAATGTTCAGCGTGATTGGACTAAGGTCACCAACTATGGAAAGAGATTGGGGATCTTGAATGAGGATTTCGTCGCCAATTATACCAATGAGTTCCTTTCTTGGGGACTTGATGCTGATTCTACTGATCCTATTGGTGATCAGAAGCGTATGGCGGCGTTGCAGCAGGAGGTTGCTGCTGATGGTGGTTATAAGCGCCTCGAGGTTAAGGCTTCCGCTTAGGTTGGGCTTGGCCTCTACCTGCTCCATGGCTCTCTTTTGAGATGATGTTTGTCATAGGCTTCACTCTTTAGCCTCTGTTGCTTGAGTCAAATTGGATCAATTGCCATATTGGTATATCATTTGTGCCGTAAATGATGTAGTGATCTTCATAGTTATCTTGATTTTTAAAAAAGTATAACAATAGTATACCTGTAGAGTCTACAAAGCGACATTTCCAAAGAAAGAACCTTATATCCATAGAAAAGCAACGTGTTGACAGCATGATGAATATTTCCAAGGTCGTTAAAATCAAAGTCATTATCATATCTCATAAGGTATCATGATACAAGCCCTAGTCATCATCAAACTACAGTTGACGGCGCAGCCTCACTCCCTGAACGGTCAAGCATAGCTCGTAGCCGACCCTCTGCGGACTCCAAAGCAGGGCTAGATTCCGGCCCAGCGATACTTGCAGTCCACTTCAGCCAGCCAAGGAGGGATTGTATGATTTCCGGACCAGAGTTTCCCGCGTCAGGTAAACCCTCACCTGCCAGAGCAGATTGCGGGAGAATATTGGGTGCAGTGGAGGACCCATCATTTGCAATCACCTCTAGATGAACCTCTGACACTACAGCGGGAGTGGCCATCTGAGATGACTGCTGTTCGCCACTGCTAGCAGCAGCATTCTTTGCTAGTAGATCACGACCGCTATGCTTGGGTCTCGATGCGAATTCGCGCGTGAAAGGTGTCGAAGCTATGGTCTCCGGCGCAATAGCCAAAACAGTTTCCGTCTCGGAGGTCATGGCAGGAAACAATGGAGAATGGGGTTGTCTCTGAGTTGTCTGGCCAGGGGCAGCATTCTGTTCCATCATAGACGCAGTATGCCTCAGATTTTCTAGATACCGATGAAAGGAGAACGGATGCATGTCACGAGCCAGATCAATCGGACTAGCCTCATCCTCAACAATGACCGCATTGTTGTCATCGACAGGCCGTTCCTCATTAGGCCTAGCCTCCTCGACGGGTCCCAGTGGACTTGACGGAGCACAAATCTCACCCAAGGGGGCGATATGACTACCATACTCATTGGAAAGACTGAGCTTGCTCCGCCCACAGATCTCAGCAATGGAGTCCAGAGTTCCACGGATATCAGGCTCGATGGCCTGCAGTATACTCTCGATACTAAAGTCCTTGTCTGTCGGAAACATGACATCAGATTGTGACGGAGGAGCCGAGCTCCTCGAACCCGAGAATGAGAGGAACCGAAGCGGAGACATAGTAGACGGTCGTGTAGGCCTATCCGGCGCATCTCCCGAATACGCCCTGACAAGCACGGGGCGTGTAGCGAGTGTCGACGAGTGTCTTCCAGGGGGATTGTCACGGACGGGACGGGGTGTAGATCTCGGGAAACCGTTGATCTGGCGCATAGCGGTGGTACGATATGCTGCAGCGGGGTCCTCGGTGACGGACTCACGGCGCTGATTAGGCTGGTGTGAGGGGCCTGCAGCAAACACGGCTGGAGGCGCGTGGGTTGGGGATAGTAGTCGGGAGCATCCTTGCCGAGGCAGAGAAGATGACGGCCTTGTACTAGGTAGTGTATCTGACTTCATGATCTGTATCTGTACCTGTTTGGGTAGCGCACAGCTACGTGTTATGCAGGAGACAGCGCAGACAACCCCGCTCTTAGAGGGCACAGCACAGGACTCTTAGAGGATTAGCTTTACTTCACGAGGGGGATTTATCCACGTCGCATACAACGTGTATTCTCCGGCATTCGTTTAGCGGTTTGTTTTGGATGTCAATCATCCGAGCGGGGGGAATGGGTAAGCTTCTTAAGGGCCTTGGATGCCCGGACCACTTAGGATGTAAAGGTGGTTCAGGTACCGGGTACACTACTAGTACACTCTACTAGTATGTTGTACACTAATTGGAAGTTTAACATTCTTCGCAGGATCATCAAGCCAAAACCAAAGGTAAAAACCCAAAAAGATGGCTCTGCCGCGATTTGAACGCGGGACCCCCCCGTTGGCACTGATTAGTACGAGCGGGATGCCTTAACCACTGGGCCACAAAGCCAAAGCAATGCCTGAAATCTCCAAATATGGTCTCTTAAGCACCACTAGTGGAAGCCATATCGGGACATACACTACACGGCACCATCACCACGTTGCCCCCAAGTGTTCCTTTATCCATTGCCCACGCTCTAACCGGACGCACCATGAATCGGTTCCAAGTATGAACTCATGTGACTCATATTGATACCTCGTCTGACCTGCTATAGTTCGGCGACTCCGACGGGTCTGTCTCCGACTTTGATGAAGACCCATCCGGCCTCCCCTTCCCGGAACCGCTATCCCGCACCTCATTCCTCGCCCCTGACTTCGATCCAGCCACCTTCCTATCGTCATTGACGAACCGACATCAGAGCCTTGAGGATCTCCGGCAGGAATTGCGGGGACTAGAGCAATTATTGAACAAGGAGCTGTTGGATCTTGTGAATGAGAACTACCAGGACTTTCTCTCGTTAGGCAGCGCGCTTCGCGGGGGAGAGGAGAAGGTTGAAGGTGTGAAAGTCGGCGTGCTTTCTTTCCAGCGCGACGTGAAAGCTATCCGCGATAAGGTCGAGGCGCGACGTCAGGAAGTGGAAGAGCTATTGGATGAGAAACGGCGGCTACGGACGAATGCCGACATTGGCAAAGATCTGTTGGACTATGCGGATCGGGTGGAGGAATTGGAATACCGGTTGATGATCGAGGACAAACCATTGCAAGAACATGTCACATCAGATGAATCGGATACGGAGTCTGATCTGTACAGCGGGGAGAGCGAAGATAGCGATGACGATGAGCTAGCGGATGGCACACCTGCAATTTCGTTGAAGAGGATGGAACGCCATGCGCAGAAGTTTGTCTATTTGGCTTCGATAGCTGCTCGGGTTGGCGAGAAGCATCCATTCCTTCTTGCTCAGCAACCACGAGTCGCAAAGATCAAGTCCACAGTACTCCTGGATCTTAAGACTGCTTTGGAGCAGGCCACCGCGGCGAGTGAGAAACAAGGCAAACGCGACGCTAGAACAATGGCAGTTCTGCGTCTCTACGAGCTTATGGGCGAGGATGTCAGTGCCGTCGCCGCGCTGAAGAACCTCAAGGTGTAAAAACAACGTGCTTCGTCCTGAAAATTGGCAATGTGCACTGGTCTGCATACATAGCGTCGGCGTTTGGTCTTATAAAGTTCTAATTCAACAATGATACCATGATACACCATGTCCTTTCCTAATAAAACAATAAATTTGTACACGCCAAAGGATATAGAGAAAATTGAGTATGTTACATGCCCTTCAGGGCGGAGGTTGGGGGTGAGGCGTCGGAGCGGAACTCGCCGTTGAGAGAGAATCCGGGTCCGTTCGTGGAGCTCAGAACCTGATGGTGTTGTTAGAAGCTGGTTTGCCCGAAAAAGATTAATTAAAGTACTGACCACCTCGTAGACTTCCTTGTTGACACGGTCGGTCAGCGCGGAAGCATCCTTCTTAATCTGGTCAAGGGTCACGCGCATGTTATCGCGCAATTGCTCCGGAGAGAAGCCCAATTGCCCGACAGGCAGACGGATAACGGCATCACGCTCACGGTACACAGTACCACCACGGAGCATTTCTACTCGCGCAGCCACATCTTCCACAACGGTACCAGTCTTCGCACTAGGCATCAAACCGCGAGGACCGAGGATACGACCCAGTGCGGCCTTGTTCAGGGCCGGCAAACTGTCCGGGTGGGCGAGACAGCGATCAAACTCAATAGTGCCTGCCTTGACAGCATCGAACACTTCTTGTTCACCGACAAGAACGGCACCAGCGGCAAGCGCTTCCTTGGCTGCTTTCGAACCGGGAGGACAGATGACACAGATGCGGGATTCGGTCTGGACGGCGTGGGGGAATCGGAGCATGTTACGGATGACGGGACCGTCGCGCTTTGTCCGCAGTCGGATGTGCAGTTCGTATTTTTGGATAGAGGGTTCGCGACCGACTTCGATGGCCCGGATATATCTGCAGAAAGGAAGTTGTCAATTGATGACCCGGCCATTGACTGACGTCTCCATGTCAGATGCTCAGTACATACCGCATAGCATCACACAGGGAATACTGCGGCATATCTTTCAAATTGATTTGCCGGAACTCCTGGGGTCCTTTTCGGCTCTTGGTAGGCTGCTCTTTCCCCTTCTTTGGCTTGGTCTTGAGACCTCGGACCTGCTGGAAAGTCGAAAGAGAGGGAGCGATCAAGGTATTGCGCAGCGGATTCCGGCATGATGAGAGGATTCCGCGTGCTGCAGTGGGCAGTACCGAGCCGGAGGACGACATGTTGACAGGCGTTGATTCGAGCTGATCGACTGGATGAAGCAATTGTTTTCTGCCGGAAAGCTGTCGGGCTCGGAGAAACGTGGCTCCGGACGGACTGTAGATAATGACTCTGCCCCTCCAGAAATTCACATTGCTTCCCACACTACACTTCTGCGCAATGTCTCAGTACGAGTTGAAAGTGGCCACTCGTGGCAACCACGCGGCACTTCTGCCGGCGGTTCTCACCGTCACCTCCATCAATGAGGCCCGCCCCAACCCCGTCGTCAAGATCACCTACGAGGACACTGCTCTTCTCCAGGATGGCGACAAGGCCATTGTCCAACTCACCGGTGGCTCCAACTCTGTCTTTGGTACTGCCAATGTCATCCAGGAGCTTACTACACAGTTCCCTTACCTGGTTGGCAAGGATTCCAAGGTGGTGAGTTAACACTACTACCCCGCGGTCGAGTCATTCTTTTGGAAAAGGAATGTCCCTAACATCACGCAATAGGAGGCCGAGTGGATCTCTCAGTTGGATTCCCTGACCACCCTCGACTTCAAGGCCCTCGATCCCGTGCTCCAGCGCCTTGACGCCCACCTCCTCATGCGCTCGTTCGTCGTCGGATACTCTCTGTCTACCCCCGACATCGCCCTTTGGGGTGCTCTCCGTGGTAACCGCGTCGCCGTTGCGGCCCTGAAGAAGGCATCCCTTGTCAACCTTACCCGTTGGTATCGGTTCTTGGAGGAGCTTTGCCCCTGGGCTTCCGCCGCTGTGGAATCTATGAACGCAGTTGCCAAGGAGAAGAAGGTGGCCAAGTCCAAGGAGGGTGCCAGTTACGACATTGCACTCAAGAACACTGAGAACGGCGTTGTTACCCGCTTCCCCCCCGAGCCTTCGTATGTTGTGACCGCATGGTTTTCTCTATTCTTAAGACTAATATGGTTCATTCTAGTGGATACCTCCACATTGGTCACGCCAAGGCCGCTCTTCTCAACGACTACTTTGCGCATGAGAAGTACAACGGTACTATGCTTCTCCGATTCGACGACACCAACCCTTCCAACGAGAAGCAAGAGTTCGAGGACGCCATCGTGGAGGACCTTGCGCTCATGGGCATCAAGCCCAACAAGATGACCTACACTAGTGACTACTTCGACGAGTTGTACGATCACTGCATCAAGATCATCAAGCAGGGCGACGCCTACGCAGATGATACTGATAAGGAAACTATGGCCGCTCAGAGATGGGATGGCTTGCCTAGCCAGCGTCGCGATCTTTCCCCCGAGGAGAGTTTGGCGCGCTTGGAGGAGATGAAGAACGGCACCCCCGAGGGTCTTCGTTGGTGCATCCGTGCTAAGATCTCTTTCGACTGCCCTAACAAGGCTATGCGTGACCCCGTCATCTACCGCTGCAACCCCGCGGTCCACCACCGCACCGGTAGCAAGTGGAAGATCTACCCGACCTACGACTTTGCCTGCCCTATTGTTGACTCGATGGAGGGTGTCACCCACGCTCTGCGTACTATCGAGTACCGCGACCGCAACCCCCAGTACCAGTGGATGCTGGACACTATGAAGATGCGCAATGTGCAGGTGTGGGATTTCGCCCGCATGAACTTCGTTCGCACTCTTCTTTCCAAGCGTAAGCTCACCAAGCTGGTCGAGACTGGTCTTGTTTGGGGTTGGGATGATCCTCGCTTCCCTACCATCCGTGGTATTCGTCGTCGCGGTATGACCATTCCTGCTCTCCGGGAGTTCATCCTCAAGCAGGGTCCCTCCAAGGCTGTGACCAACTTCGACTGGGGCCTTATCTGGGCTACCAACAAGAAGTACATTGACCCTATTGCCCCGCGTCACACCACCATCTTCAACAAGAATGTTGTCAAGACTACTGTCACGGGTGGCCCTGCTACCCCTTACTCCGAGGAGAAGCCTCGACACATCAAGAACGCCGCCGTCGGCATGAAGAAGGTTGTCTACAGCAGCTCGATCATCCTTGAGCAGGAGGATGTCAAGCTGTTCAAGCCTGACGAGGAGATCACCCTTATGAACTGGGGTAACGCCATCGTCCGCAAGGTTATTACCAATGCCGAGACCGGTATCATCACCGATCTTGAGCTTGAGCTGCACATGGCTGGTGATGTCAAGAAGACCGAGAAGAAGGTTACTTGGCTTGCCACCGAGGGACAGGACCTTGTCCCTGTCGAGCTGGTCGACTTCGACCACCTGCTGACCAAGGACTCCCTCGGCGAGGATGACGTTCTGGAGGACTACCTCAAC